GCGGGCGATAAATATGTTGATATCTAAAGGCCTGCATGCATACAATTTGCACCGTCGAATTACTTTGGGATTTAGAATGGAACTAAATGATTACTAGCCCCTTATATCAACATCATATGCTGATATAAGATAGAATTTTAAACATACTTGTGCCAAATACATTTATTTACCGTTGCCAACCCAAAATCAACTTCTCGCGTTTCGACTGCCCGTTTTATTTGTTCTTTTGCTATCTATTAATGGTTTTCTACTGTTATTTTTATAGGCCTTGAGAACGTATAGAGTATTGGCTGGGCTCCTGGCAAAACCCAATATGGCTGCGGCCAATGCTGACTCTTCACAAGTTGAGCTAAATGCAGATTCTAAAAATCCGCTTGGGAGTAAAATCAGTAAAGTAATTGACTACACTCTGCAAGCCGATGAAGTAACCTGATATATTCTTAACGGTTAGAGCTTCTTCGAAGGCCTAAAAAATTTGTCGGAAATTTACACTACTAACGATGTAAGGTCGCGCCGTAACCTACGCGGAATAATGGAGACATCAAGACTTGAGCTTGCTGAAGGATTTCTCCGAGAAATGTCAGCTATCAAAGAAGCAAGTGTCTGATTTATGTTATTAATGATTTAGGGTCTTGATCATCTTTCAGTTGAGCTCAGCGCCATGTCTGCCAGTTGTTCAAAGATCAACGAGAGGTTAAAGGTAATGTCTTCGATTTGTTCCTGATTTTTAGTCCTCAAAGTCGCGAATGGAGGAGTTGATCAGTCAAACCAATCTAAATCAAACGCAAAAGTATTATTTGGTTTATTTTGAGTTTCCGCCATAGGAATTCCGTTACTCTCACTCACTTAGCTGCAGATGTATTTTTAAAGTCATTTTACATCGATCGAGACGACTGGACACTTCTCGATGGACCAGTTGATAACTTAGAAAATGTGCTGGTTAAACTTGAGCGAGCCAAAAATATCAGACATCTTATTATTACTACGATGGGTATCCCTAACATGCCTCTCTTGTATGAAACCATTCTTAGTTTATTTTTCTTTAGAAAGGACTTGTTAGAAACATCGACGAGTTTCATTGACAAAGCATTTGAACGTTTGTACCAATGGGTTAAAAGTACATCTCATTTTCTAAATATCTGGTGATTGTGATTCTAGACGAAGTAACTATTCAGAGCTTCGAAGCCGTGGAGGTTCCCATAATATTTCGAAAGTGTTTACAAGAACTTCAGGAGCGGCCAATTCTTTTCAAGTAAATATTTTTTCTGTGAATTTAGTGTAATAAACCCTTAAGGTGCATTTTGGACGAATACGCAAATGCCCGTCGTCAGGTAATCGTGGAAGCCTTTCTTAGTGCATTGACAGTTGGTTGGGACAAAGGAGGTGGCACCTTCGTTACACCGTCGAGCAAACCGATTGAAATGCAATCACACGACCCTACACGTTATGCTGGAGATATGCTAGCCTGGTTACATCAAGCTGCGGCTTCCGAAAAAGAGTATCTTCTTTCGCTCACTTCTGAAAATGGTATGCAAACCTCCTGCGTTACAGCTTTGACTCCTGTGTTTCTATGCCTTCTTCCTTTTATCAGCTGACAAGGACATAATTTATGATTGCTTAAATAGCATCACCAGTGGGTTGACGCATCCGCTTCAACTGAGGCTTGAACAAATGTTAGTTACAGAGCACAATCCTGTTCTGTTGTACAAGGTCAACAATTTGCTTCAATTCTATTCCAATGTTGTCATGTAAGCCCTTCTCGTGACCTTTTTATTTGATCATATCCTACCTAGTCATTCATGTTTATTGCTTTTTTTCAATCCTAGGAATTTAATGGGCCAGAACTGCACGCTCTACACCACGCTTTCTGACTTGCAGTTACTCAGTTGGAATTTGTTTGTCAGTGCACTTCAGCGGCAAACATCGGAACTACTTGCTGATGTGGGTACCAATTTTTCCTGTTTGTTTATTAACCGAAGGAACACCGACTACACTCAACGGTGTTTCTTCCCATTACCTTAATTTTAGATTACAGATCTAAGTTTGCTGTGATTTTGAGTTTTTTCTTTTCAAATTAATTGAGTGTCGGGCCACGGTTACCATGTACTTGTTTATGGTGCAGCATCATCGAACGTTTCTACAGACTAAGCTATAGACTAACATGCACACCTGACGTTTTAGCGATTTTTCACATCTACATTTTTCCCCACAGACCGGCCCACCTCATCATGAATTGCTTCCATCCATGTCAGCCATGGACGTCACGCGGCTACTGGAGGCTATCCTCACCGCCCAGGATATGTCCTGTGCCTTACCTGATGTCAGGAAGGCCAAATGTGAGGAGGTGAGTAGAACGCTTGCAGAGATTTTTTAATGGAGTTCTCAGCGAGAGTAAATCAAGTAGGTTATTACGACCGTGGATTGTCACTTAGACTAAGTTACCGTCAATCAGTCTCATCAGTTTAGCCCAAGCGGCCCCTCTCTCACCCTAAATTAACCCCTTAGCTTTGATTGCTAGTTGAATGGCAAGTGAGCAATTTAACTGAATTTAGATCCAAGCAGCTAGCATTCTTATAATTTTTTAATAGGCAAACTTTTTTATTAACTTTACTATTCTCATGCTCACAAATATCCACCATGGTGATAAATGTAAGCAGCCAATATTTCAGGAAGGTAAATGAATTATGGTTAGGGTCTATTTAAGCTATTTTTGGGGTCACAGACTAAGTTCGCATCCAGAAATTCTTTGAAAAATGATAGTGACTTTGGAGCCAGGGAATCGGGATGTATCAGGTTGCACATTTGCTTGGCCTCACCGAGGAATCGTTCAAACCGCTGAGCTTTAATCTTCCCCGTAGTGTTCTGGTTAATGAATGAGTCCTCCGTTCATAGCCAAATAACTATACTACTGTTTCATCATTGTAGATTGTATCCATAGCTGTGACTCCACTACTCCAACATTTTGAGATAATGGCTCGACGGTTCATCACAAACGATAATCAAGCACCTGACCAGACGGTTGATCCTACAATTCTTCCACCTGAGGCTTATGTTTACCTTGTCAATTGTCTCCACGCGTTACACAATGCGCTCTCCCGTCTGGAGTTCACTGGGGCTCAGATTGCAGCCCTTGCTGCTCGGCTTGAGGAAGTGATGTCTTGTCTTACCCAATTACAAGCTGCTCATGCCATCACTAGGGCAGGCCTTTACTGTCTCAATGAGGCCATTAGCACACCATCGGAGGTTCCTCTGGCTGATCGGGGACCAGGATGCTCACAGCCGGAAGTGATCAATGCTTTTGTAAGTTGAGAACCGAATAACATACTTGCCGACTCGTGACTTCGTCGTGAAGGCAATATATAGGTGACCCCCCACTACTTACACCCGTTTGCAGTAGTGCACATCGATGGCTAAACGCTGCAGCTTACGAGAATCGCATGGGGAGTTCACTCACATTAAGCTTAGAATGATCTTAGCCAGCCGGATAGTTAAATTTAATCGACCGGTCAGGTACACGTTTACCCCTTACTGTCCGTATTTCTTGTCACTTAAATTTAGAGTTTGCTAGTACTTCAAGCCAAATAACGGATTTTAGCACACAGTCCACAAAACCTCTTACTGCCGATGACCCCTGGTATTGGCTTACGCCACCCTACTTTAAGACTTCCCAGTCGCCAAAAGGTCGATTTATTTTTAGCCTAGTTGCTTCTCCTTTTAGAGAAGTCACCAGTAGTGCTAATAGATCAGCATAAGTCCCAACCCCCCGTTTAACTTGTTCTTTAGCGTGCATTCAATACAGTGTACCTATCAGGTCCTGATGCGTGGGAACTGCCTGAAACAAGTCAAATAGCCTTCCCACGTCCACGAAACGCGCTGCGGCGTCGCACCGCGGACCTCGTCCACTCCGTCTACTCAATCCTCTATAGAGCAATAACTGATCCTACTTCAGGCTACACAAGTCCGTGGCCTGAGGACCTCAGAACGCCAGAACAAGTCGCTGAACTCCTCCTCCCCTCGTCCTAATTTAACTGGCTGTGATCTTGGTAACACAATTAGTTGCCCGGACTGATTTGACTTACGAATAAGTAAACCTTCCCTAAGTATGCTCACACACTACAAACAAATGTATCGTACAAGATGAGAAACCGGTTCGCGACAACTTCAGGTAGCACTAACACCCAAGTCCAACAGGATGACACCGTAATTTTATATATTTTAATGCCGGACGAACCTCTCATAGATCGCAGAGAGCAGCAAATTGCTGAGGAAGAAGGGGGATTACAAGGCATGGTTACCCGGTTGAGTGGTTAGTAGGGAGAGTGCTATCGAAGACAGAAACGTTCATTAAATTCCAGCATTTCGCATGGCGAAGTGCCGGCAGTTTTCCTATCACCTGTGCATTTAAATGGGTTTGGATTGAGGCTGGATATGTGCATAACACAAGCCATGGTGACAACAAGATCCTGCACATAGAAATGCATGTATTCATCAAGCGAGTGAATTACTTTGCACAATGTTAGCAAATATTTCCAGCTTAAAAAAAGCTTGAGTGGCGGCGTGTCAAACCATGAGCGATGAGCCCTCAAAAGTGCATGACAGCACAAAATACGAAGATGATTAAAAATTAATATACAATAAAACATAGTGGAAGAGTTATACCGCGTCTGTAGGGTCATCGCATTTCCACGATTCTTCAACTGTTTCGCGAACTTTGGATTCGTATTCTCGTGTGTGTTCTTCAAATAATTCAGCAGCTATCGTGTTAGCAGGGGAGTTGGGGTTCGGGTCTCCAAGAAGGGACTGTATGGAAGTTAATATGGATCCGATATCGTAGGACGATGACCACATATTCTGTAAAATGTCAAGACATATGGCACCATCGGCATAGACATTCGGATGGAACATTCTGGATACAAATTTGACTGTAGGAGGAACATTTGGGTAGCTTTCCGTGAAATCCATAACAAGCTTAAAAATACCGTCTGCAAAAGGGGTGCCATCGGCACCCAATATAACAGCGTGCCACCGAAGGATGTTATCATCCTGCGGAACTGCGTACACTCCTGGTGGTGGATCTTGTTGGATTTTACAAAAGTCGTTCATTAACCGTCGCCTTGCTTTAGTTGACATAGCGGCAAGTATCGGGAATGCTAACAAAATAAAAGCAGTAGAAACTCTTGAGTAAACGACCAAAGATTTTCCTTCAATTGATACACTAAAACAAATATCGAAAAATGTTGAAAATTGAAGCATTGGTGCCATAATGTGTAAAGTTGCAAAAAAAACCCAAACAAGACACGCAAAAAATACTTTTTCCTAAATTTTTTAAAAAGACAGTAATTATTTAGTACCATTCTAAATCCCAAAGTAATTCGACGGTGCAAATTGTATGCATGCAGGCCTTTAGATATCAACATATTTATCGCCCGCCTAAATTTTGTAGATCAATTTAATATGATCCACTTGCAAGCTAGCTATAGCCAGTTGGTTGGGTGTAACCTAAAGTAATACGGCAAAATGGAATGTAATTTGGACGCTTAATGTTGTGATGCAAAAATAATGTGATAGAAACTAAATAGTTTCATTAACAGGTGTGACCAATACGGACACAGAAACTGATGGAGTTCGATGGTCATGCAAGAGGTAATAAAAGGAACCCATAAATCGGGAACTCTGAGTTAAAGTTTCTGACATGCATATATAATTGAATAATTGACTGCAGAAACACTCAGCTAGCCTAATAGGGCTCTGTACAGTCAATTTTTGGTGAATTGGTAAATAGGTGACTTGCTGTTAGTATATAATAACATGTCACTTCTATACACATTTTGGCCCAGGACAGGTCTATGCAGCAAAATGGAACACACTGATGTGATTAATGAGGTCCAGTCAAAACGTGTCATTCACCCTATCGAAATAAACAACTCCGAGTGAGCTTTGTGATGAGCGGAATGCATATGAATTATTTCTGCGAGATGCAGTCATTTTCACCGGCAATCATTACCATAATACGAAATAAAGGCAAAGGAGGTCATGATTGGACTACGGTGAATTGATCAAATGGCCCATGAACGATTAGCCGCTTTTGCAGCTTCTGATTATCCTAATGTACGCTCTGAGATGTATTCTTAGCAATCATTTTGAAGCCACGCCTCTATCACATAACGTTAGCAATGAGAAGGGTACACATGATGACATTCATTACTCCGTCGGGTTTGGAGTAATACTAATGGTCTTTGATTTAATTTTATGTGCATTTTCGCAAACGTTCCAATTCTACATTTGATGGATTCCGTAATCTACAGTGATTTATATGCAAATGATAATATGGCCGTGTTTGGCATGCATGAAGGCAACTACGTTGGTTGACCTTGAGATGTGTCCCAGCCAAGTTATTTCAAGGAGTTTAAGACTTAATATGAACAGGCACAGCTATTTCGACCGATGGTTAAATATACTAGAAAAGTAGTTTGGATGTCCAGAATAGGATTTCCAAAGTGAACTACTGGGAAGCACGCTTTAAAGGCTCCCAGATAAACCCTATTCACCGCTTACAATTTTGCATTGTGTGAAACAATGCGTCTACTATTGATAAAGTAAATAATACCAGTTAGCTTTGGATAGATCAATTTCTTTAATGGAGGTAAGTGACCGAGTAGAGAATGAGGAAATCCTTGGCAAGACGCAACAGCAACCATCAAGGGAATGAGGTTCGTGTCACTGGGCCGCGTAATAACTAGGGAGTTCGATGACTGTGCATGTGCACCGTCTTTGTCACCAATTTGCGTCAACAAAGTCTTGTGTGAAATAGTGGTAATTTGGCATACGAAAATCCTAAGTAGTGAGGGCCTGCTTCTATTGGCCAGCCAATATCCGTAGTCCCAAATTATACGCGTGGCCAGGACGCCTGTTGATGTCACGTTTTTGTGGACCCAGCCATCTCCACGGATCACATTTGGATCTCTGGAGACCCACAGACCATAGCGCTTAGGCGACTAGTTCGTCCAAGCATGGTGTGTTTGTGATTACAAAACAATGAGTTTGAATTATCGTTGGGTGCGTCATCTAGAGCTAATTTCCTCAAGATCGTGATAGGTAGAAGACCCAAATCACCGGATCAGCTGTTCTGGGCAGCAACGATCAGGGGTCTGACTGCTGTTCTTTAGAGTTGCTATGTTTCAGATTTTAAGACTTTTAAAATCACAAGAGCAGATTTTCCTTCTGGCTTGCCATCATCCCACTCTTCTATGCTTGGCTCGTTTGCTTTTGGTTTGCTCAAGCCTACTGACAAACTCGTCAGTAGTCTCACCGACGACTGACACGTCGAGTTTCCGTAGTTTCCTGGGTCTGCTGCACCATACATCAGAAGCGGCTGTTAATTCCTAGTGAAAACGCCGTTGATCAACCCTCCGATGTAGTTGGTGTTAACGCTTACTGTCTTGACGTTGCTAAGAAGGAAATTATTGGTGAGTGATGTTGTTGCCAAATGCACCTTTGCCCTAAGAGTGACGCAGCCATAATTTCGCAATTCCAGATGTGTTTTGCATTGCGCTCGTGTGCATCACTTCGTATTTTGAATATCCGAATCTGCTCTCCGAATTCGGAGGTCTGGCTTGCTCGCTGAGCTTCATGTCAAATTCGTCCACTCAGTGAGCAGAGGTCCATGTCAGACCAACTCAAAGCACACACACACACACATGCTTGCGTGGTCTGTGTCTAATTGCCAGCTGTCGTATTGTTTCATTGACTTGATTCTAAAAAAGGCAAATAGACTTGTGAGATCTTATTCACTTGCTCGGAAATTTAATCTCCTTTTTTACTTATTTGCTTTTGATCTGGAAATGCAGTTCGCTTGACAGCTTTTTGCTCAGCGTAGAAATATGAAATCGGTCTTCATATTTCTGCGCTGTGTTAATCTTGTAATGTATGAGGTTCATTGCTCAGGAAATGTAAATAATCGCCTGATAGTGAGCGTAGTTTTACCCTTCCCTCTCAGGTTTGCTGTGATTGCAACTGCAGCTTGCCTCGTTTTGGACTGGCTTTAAGTTGATTAAAGCTGCTGTAGTAGTATACAATTTATTTAATTTGTTTGTGCCTTAACAACGGACACGAAATCTTCATCACCGTTGGTATAAATGCCTCGTGTTAGTCCTAAGTCACCGTGTGTGTTTCAGGATGAAAGATTTCGTTGATTTGAAATTTAGCGAAAAAATTAATGTATTCGTGCCGATTTGTTTACGTAAACAAAAAAAGCAAATTAACCTTTAGTCGGTATGTCAAAGGAGGTCTTTGAATAAATTTTCATCACCAGCCGATGTGTGTTACGTTGACGGGGCCTTAAACTATGCTGTCTCGAAGGTCAGCAAGAAGTAAATTCCATTGACCGTGACGGATGTTCCATGGATAAGAATTTGACTGTGGGCAAAATTATGTACTCAGTGATTGTTTCCACCGTTTCACTGTTTTAGCTAAAACTCCCTAAAAATATAAACAGGAAGTATTTTTAAAAAAATATGAGGCTTTTGAGAAAAGGAAGATTCTGGGATTGTTCCTTGTGGATTATTTAAACTAAATACCACCTCACAATACTTCAATCACATGATACTTTTATCAGGTGAGAAAAGTAAATTCAAGTCACATAACTCCGCTACTCGCAAAAAGGTGTTGTCATTGCAAATTATGGGGTACATGATACCGTGTCGATATGCTGTGAGACTCATAATGACGCCCAAATCTGGAAGGAAAACCACAATCTGTCAGAGAGGAGACAACCTCTATGAGCCTTTGATTTCTGCTCGTCACCAACATGGCCTGCAAAATCAAAAGAGGTACTCAAGGAATTTCAAAATGTTTCCTGCCGGTCATCACCTCTGCAGAACGTGATTCTTGTCGCATTGCTACGGTCTTCTGCCATTTCATGCAGCGACTTTGACCGAAGGTAAAGAGGTAGGTAGTTAATGTGACAGAAATCATTTCTGCATCTACATTGCCCTATGAATACTGCCGGAATGATGCGCTTAGTTTCTAAACCAATTAAAAAGTTAAAACGGTAGAAAAAGAAAGCAACAGAACTTAAAGTGCTCAGCCTACTCCCGCAGAGGCGAAGAAAGCAACGCGTGCAGGTTGGAAGGGTTACACGTCAATGCGAGCAATACATCCGTCACCGTGCGCCTCGTTGGGGGGGGAGAGGGGAAGGGGCCCCGCAGGCCCATCGGTCCGTTGCATGTGGGCGAGACAATCCAACAGTGCCGCCACCCCAAAAAATGCGGTGTGATTTCTGGTGTTGCTCCATTTGATGTGCCGTGTGCTCTAATTACTATTAAAGCACCGCGGCCTCGAATTTATCAACAGGGGTCGTCAACTGGAGACCAATTTCCCTAAGTAGAACACTGATACACTTACCCTAATTTACTCGGCCCTGTTTGCTTGTTGAGGAAATGCTTGTGGATGTTGACTTACTAGAAATGAGAAGAGGGCACTGGAAATGCCATGGATGATTTTAATTTAGTTCAGATTAATCTGGCATGTCAGTTTGGTCCGAAGATGTTTCCGTGACCAATTTTGCATAGTTTCATTGCTTAGAAACCATTTGGTATTTTAGGGGGTATTTGACATACATTTTTACGGCGGTGTTTTAAATTCGACTCTATGTACACAAACACGGCACCTCTTTCAATCACATCCCGTCTGACATTTTTTTTATTATTTCGAGTAATAAGTGCCATTTTAATGTGTATTGGAAAATTGGCAATGGTTAGTGCTTGCTGGAGAGGTTCCTTCAAATGGAAAATTTTATTGCCATTTCCAAAAGCATATTATGCAAAGACCAAGTCGTTTAACCATTACATGCAGGCGCTGCCGTCGATAAATACCTGCTCACTTAAGCTCGTAATTTTTTTTGATGGTACATCATCCAATGGAAACAACAACGCATTTTCTGCTGAGAAATTAGTGCTCCTATTCGCAGTTTACCTCATTTATCGCCATATATGCATATGGATTCGTTGTTTGGACCAAACCTCATCGAAACCAACTTCGTATTTTTTAACAAACGTTTCTTGGTAGCAGGTCAATAGGCCTCTAATTTTTAACCGAATTTCGCCCCTCCTTTCCTAAAATAGGTCCATTTC